CCCCAAAACCCCAAAACCCCAAAACCCCAAAACCCCAAATCTTGTTGAGAAATTGGGAATATAAATATTAAATATTTCACTCAAAAGTTTGACATGAAAAAACCTACCCAGAAGCTTGCCTTGTTCCAGTATAAAGTACCAGGGTTGAAGAACCCCCTGCAATATCAGTTTTATTTTGGAGAGTCCTTTAAATATCAGAACCAGCTTGTAGAATTGATCAGAAAGCATGGTGGTGCAGTCCTTACTGATGATTTATTCGTGAACTGTCTGACGATCCAGATTACATGTCAAGATAGAAGAAGAGAAGAACTCAACTACCGCCAGTAAGTGCATACAGATTAAAAAATTTAGAGAACCTCTTTTTGATGAAGAATTTAAGAAACTTTTCAGTCTAAAGGACAAGGAGGAAGACATTCAATCAGATATTTGGCTCATTAACCAAGCTAAGCACTCTGATTCTTATTATGAACAGAAATTCTATAACGGTCCGCTTTACTCCATCAATTGGATTTAAAGAGTCACTTTTGAGAGGGAAGATACAGAACCAAGAGAAATATTTTGTCAAGCAGGTTTATCAGTCTCTAAGAACAAAAATCGAAGAAGAGAATCTGACTATTAAGAATTTAGCTTCCTACTCTCCAAATCAAGTGCTGTTTATCTTCCAGTATGTATATTGGAGATCTATGAAGTCTTTTGATTTAGAACAGGACAGAGGAGTCTTGGAGAGTCAACAAAAGCCATCCATACTTCTTGCTACACTATATTCAGCACTTGGTAATAAGAGTCTGAAATCCATCTATTATTTTCTGTTTAACAACAAGATTGGGAAAATTCCTTTTGAAGAAGCCCTGACAAGTTATATGAAAAGGCGAAATTGGACTTATTTAAGTAAGCTTAGGAAAATGTGGTGATATTTCTAGCATAAAAATTCATATTTGATTGACTGAAAATAATACCTTCTTTTATAGAGCAGGATGAATTTACCCATAACATTACTGTTTGAAAAACAAGAGAAATGTTACTGAAGGAAAATCCAAAGACTCAACTACAAAAATTTAAGACTAGCCTGTAAGTATTTCCTATCATATTATAAGCAAGAAGAGAGGAAAGAGGAAGGAAAAAGACATGCTCCCTTACATCTCCTCTCCCAACCCCTCATCCAAAAAGCCCAAACTCTGCTCTCTCCTCACTCCCTCTTCCACTTAAAAATCTCTTCCAAAAACCCTGATTTTCCAAATCTCTACTGAAATTTTCACTCTAAATTCTATAGGTAAAAATTTTAATGGGGTTTTGGGGTTTTGGGGTTTTGGGGTTTTGGGGTTTTGGGGTTTTGGGG